AATGGTGGGTCGATGATAGCGCTTATAGTGTACCGTGGATTTTCAGTGAATAGTGGATTTCATAGTCAGGCGGTCATTAGTGGATCTCAAATTCAAGCAGTGGATAGTGGATTACGTTAATTTTACAGTGGATTTTACGTTATATCTTATTTTAATAGTGAATGTCCATAAATTTGGACGAGTGTGTAGTGGATTTCATTTTTTGGTAAACCTTGTGAAAAAAACAAGAAATTATAATAAAAACATAGTTGATCATGGTATCTTCGAATTTTAGGCTTTTGAATTTTCGAGAAGTGCCATAACGATTGCAAGTTCTGAAAACGTGAAGTGGACCATATGAATCTATGTGATGCGATTGTTAGAGTAGGTGACCAATAAGCCAACTTGTGGCTGTGGTCTTTTCATTTATTCTTGTAAAAAATATTTTTTTGTCGTATTAATGATAAAACACCTTGGCATTCTATATGTGTGTCCCTTGTTCAAACATAGATATAGTCCTTACATTTATTACAAGTACTTGTAATTGATCTTTTAGGATCGTGAGATATTTACTTAAGTATTATAATTGTTAAACATGTTCCCAGTCGATGGTTTACGCCACCAATGAGAATATCGGCCTTTCCCATTAAGAGACTAGCACTTAGTGTATGTGTACTGCATCTCATCAGTCAACGGTATTGTGATATCGGCATGCACAAGTGAGTGCTCGTAAGTTGACGAGTTCACTGAACTCCCTCACCCTAGAAATATCTAAGTGGATCTCAATAATCGAGTAGAGATCTCTATGGTATAGTTGTACATCATTAGTCCTTAAGACCTAGACATCACCGTGAATTCACTAGAGGACCAGCTGTATCCTGACCTGTCCCTAATTTCCACCGAGGACCACCCCAAGGGCCAGTGTTCGTGCAGTATGAAATCTAGTGGGAGGTCTGTGCATTGTAGTCGGGGATTCGATCGCTAGAATAGTCTTGGATGTCCTGTGTGTTCTCATAGTTTGTAATCTTTAAGTCTCTGGCCAGAGGTGACTAAGTGATGATTAGAGAACTCGATTCTCTAAGTCATGCACGTACCGATTACATCACTTAGAACGATCGCATAGTTAATGGACTACTAAGGAGGTCTCGATGAACCAATGCCTCTAGTTCAATGTGGACATATGAATCGAAGAGATCGTACTGTACGTTAACTATATCAAAAGGTTCTTGCAGGAACTTCATTTGTATCTAGGGAACCATGACGCGTAGTTGCTAGACGCCAATCTCGATAAGTTGGGTGATTAAGTTGAAACAAGCTTCATCTTAATCGTAATCTAGGGACGAGTTAGAACCACAAAGAGTTGTGTACCCACGGCTAGCTTACACCTGAACCATCGAGGGTCACACGGCTCGTGCACTCGAGTTCTTTGAATAAACGGTCAAGGATTAAAATGTTTAATCTTTGCATAATGGAAGTCAATGTGATTGAGTCCAACATTTGTAATTTTGAATTATGAATGAGAATAAGAAAGGGAAAATAACTAGGAGAACATCTTAGTGAACTTTCTAAATTGGGAAGTTTCCAAATTTAGAAGGTCCACTGAATTAGGGTTTCCACTTTTAGAAATTGGAAATCAAGAATTGGCATTCGTATTGACGAGGACGTTTCAATGATTCCGAAAATATAATCTTTATAATTTTCCGATCATTGAGTTGTGAGAAACGAGCGACTAAAGACTATCGAACTTAAGTTGTTGGGTCCGGTCCAACTTGAGCCCGTTAGGGCTTTTATACAAGACACCATAAATACAAGATTTATAGTTCTTGCACAAAACAGAACACACATCACAAACCCTAGCCTCTCTCTCTTACGTCCACGGCCACTCTCCACTGCCGCCGTCGATGTCGTCCGTCGCCGGAATCGGCCTCACGCGCCGATTGCTCTTGGTAGCTTCTTTCCTTTTGTCTTTTTCTTCCGTCTATTCTAACTTTTGCGTATCTAGTACCACGTATTTAGTAGATCTCAGAATACGAAGTGAAATCATAGAGAAGGAAGACCAAGGAGTCGAATTGACGAGAAGCCATCGCCGAACGCGCCTCCATGCGCCGCTTGAAGACAGCGCGTGGATCTCACGCACCGCCGTCGTTGAGCGTGTTCGTCGCCGCTGCACCACCGCTGCCCCTCCTGACTGCACGGAGTGGTTTCCGTGGCAGTTTGCTTCGATCCGATAGATCGCCTCACGCTTCCAGAGGTAATCTTTTGGATCCGTTAGATATAAGGTTTAATTTAATTAGATTAAATTGCACGTTATATGTTTTTCATGAAATTGATTTTATATGCTTTACTTGATTGTTTTTCGTGAAATTGTTTTTATGTATATTACGTTTCGTTGCGAGCATGCTATGTGTTTCTAATTATCGAATTAATTTGCATGTTGTTTTTAATTTCCGCTGGAAGCGTTAAGGTATGTAATTAATTAATCTGTCCGACATGTGTTTATATGAATTAAATCGTGTTTTTTATATAATTTTTTTTTTCGCTGCTTACACGTGCCTGATTCCCATCATAGATGCATTTATTGATTTCACTGCTTTCCAAGTTGCTAGATAATGCTTGAGGACAAGCAAAAGTTCAAGTTTGGGGGTGTGTTGAATGTAGAATTTACACTCAATACACTTACTTTACGTGGATCTTTTGTTTAGATTTAATTATATTTGTGCTTAATTGATGGATTTTGTGCTTTATAAGTGAAAAACAAGAATTAGGTGTCCATGAAGGAAAAATGGTCAAAAGGAGAGGAAAAAGTTGCAAAAAAGAAATAAATCAAATTGGAAGAAGGAATCTCGCAACAACTTTGGCAGAGTCCACCATGTCGAGCATATTTCACTCATGCGAACTCCAAATAATCTGATTCATGTTGCATTAGAAAGCTATTTTCAAAGGATAAAATTCTTATTCCCGCAACATTCCAAAACTTGGACTCCCACATGGTCAAAATCGGATTCCAAACCAACCAAAGTGTAGACAAAAGCTTCGGACGACAGTCCCAATTTTATAGTAAAATCTGGGACAGTCGTCCCGTGATGCGAAGCTGGAAAGTAAACTACGAAAATTGAGACGGCCGTCCCAGAATGGCCTGAAATGTCAGACGGCTGTCTGAAACCCCAAATCTGCACAGTTTGGAAGTTTTAGTTGGACAAGAAAGCTCTTTCCTTTTGATCAAGTCTTAACCACTATATAAACACAATTTAATGGGATCCAACCATGAAAATTTTGACACCACAAAACGCGAAGAATGAATACTCAAGCATATTTTTTCTTATTTCTTTTATTAATTCTATTTTGTTTATCATAAGAATTAACGAGTAGGTAAACTCTTTATTCTACGATTTTATTCGAACCCTATGTGGGATTTGTGAACCCAATTCTTTGATTTTATGCAAGTATGCTTTTGATCACTTTATGAGCTTTATTGTTATTGTTGAATGCATGAATGGGAAGATCGGTTAGCAATTAGAACTTTGGTAGAAGAGCATTTGTTGCATTATCATAGGGATATAGTTAACCTCTTAGGTAGCCATTAGTGAAATTTGTGCTTAATGCTTTGTTCTTGATTGAATTGCGTAGGAATACATTAATTTAGTCCTAAATAATAGAATCATGATACATGCAGAAGCGGGTTATGATTAGTTTTAGCATCCCAGATTAGTAATTCAAATTATTTAGTTGCATAATTGAGGGAATTGGGGAATCAATAAACAAATTGGGGGATATAATATCCTAGAGTTTTTCAATTTGATAAATCTTCTTTATATTTGGTTTCTTGTTTTTGCTTGCTATTTAATTTGAATTAGATAAGCTAATTTAATTTAGTTTAATCAACCTTAAAGTTGATTGTATGGGGTGGACTTGAACATCAATGTGAGAATCTATGGTTTAGGATTAGACGGTTAAATATTTCTCGTGGGATCGATACTCGAACTTTTAGTCACTTATGTTACTTGTACGATACGTGCACTTGCGTGTATGTATATCCACCAACACATATGAATTTCTATTTCTTATGGTTTATACAGTTTGAGGGTGGTGATTTTGTTTTCTCTACACTCGTGGCGACAATTTTCTTAACAATTTCAGGTATGTACACTTATCCTATTTTATTTGTGTGTACCAGGTTTTATTTTTTGTTATTTATGTTTTATTTTTTGGTATTTATGCACTTGGTTAGGACTATTTTTGTAAAAGAGCCTCTTTATGAATAAGTAGCTCTTGATTTTCTTCTTTGTAATAGCCCTTTCTTTTCAGAGAAATAATAGAATTTTCTTGAATCAGTTTATTTTGGCTTTGCCCTGATTAAAAAAAAAACCCTAACACAAGTGTTATAAAACAAATTGTGCCAAAAACGCATAAACCATCTCAAATGTGCTAAAAACCGCACAAAATCACAACAAATTTGCTGCAATCGCACAATTTCATCCCAAAAAAGTGCTAACATTCGCACAAAATCAACCCAAAAGATGACGAGAATCGCAGAAATCATCTCAAAAAAATTATTGTAACTATCGTATATATTGTTTTGTATCACGATATCGAGCGATAAATTACCAATATTTGGTCGATCGATACATATATATGCCTGCCAAGTAATCGTTTCTACAGAAATTGTATCATATCGTGATATTAACTACATTATATAATACGTGACTTTATTATTATAGTATGGAAAATGTGATAACATTACCTTAATACATATTTATAATTTTGTACTAATGTCGTCGTTAAAATTGTATTATTCCAGTAATTTTCACTTGGTATATCAAAATCATATGATATATTTTTATAAAGAGACAAAGTAAATGTAATTATAAAAAATCGAAAAATATCAATTTCGACCGATCTATGAAAGTCAATGCATAATGCTTTAATAATGATAGTAAAATAAAAATAACAATGAAAAAAGAGTTTAATTTGTATGTGGGTTTTTAGTGCATTATATCAGAAATTCATAATACTCTAGTACTTTAAAACTTCTGAAACGGATCAAACTCGCAGCCGCCGGAGGACCCTTCTCCACCACCATGGTTACGCAACATATATTCATGTATTGCCGGCGTCAACCCACCAAAATCTCTCTCTTCTTCCATCGTAGCAGCAGACGGTGGTAAGGGGGCATAATACCCCACTGTTGATGCCGACGGTGGGGGTGATGGTGACGGCTGATGCACCGTGTGAGTACGTTGCCGCTGCTGGTTGTCAATAAAACCAACTCTGGCGCCAGCGTCGCCCCCTTGCCTGACGAATTGCGGCAACAAATTCATAGATCCTTGCTCAGAGTTCTGTTCGGCGCGGTGCTTGTTTAGGAAAAGGGTGAGCGGCTCCAAATAGTCGTCCAAACCTAGCGATGCCATTGCCGCCAACACGTCCTCCGGCGTGACGGTACTCCGGTAGTCGCGGTTGCACCGCCAATTCGCCTCAGCGGTGACAAAGCTGATGAATTCGGAGACGTATTCCTGGATAGCCTCCTTGGCGTCGTCGGCAATTTTGGCGTGGCTAGGGAGGACGCGCCGCATGATGCGGGTAATATTGGCTATCGGCATATACTGATCTACGTCTCTTTTGAAGCCTTGCTGGTTCACCTGTCCGCCGATAGTGTTCAGTGCGGCGGCCGGAATGTTGGTGGCATTGGTGGAGGCAGCAGCAGGGGCAACGCCGCCTTCCCGGATGACTATGCCTGAAAGGATGTATGTGAAGAGAATATATTTTTATTGGCATCTTGTCTCTTTATCTCCTTTTCACAAAATGATAGATTTTACGATATTCACTGATATAAAGTTACCTTAACTTCATATATAGTTCAATATATATATATATATATATATATATATATATATATATATATATATATATATATGAGCATGCGATTTATGATGGGTATATGCTAATTGCATAAAAAATTGATATTTTTCAAAAATAGATAAGTGGAACGAACTAAAAACTCGAACTTGTTCAAAAAAACACGTATACATTAAATTAAGTAGCTAGTTTTCTTGCTAATTGTTGGTAATCACCATCTTTTATTATCTTCATCATGTACAAAAAAAATTTTGTCCAATAGCTAAGAAATTATGTAAAAAACACGAGAAGTTCACTCTAATTGCACTAATTTCACACCCATATATTTTGTTACACTTTCAACTCCTAAATTTCATGTTTTCTTTTATTTAATTCAACTCTATGTAAGAATGTATTGTGTGTGTGTGTGTGTGTGTGTGTGTGTGTGTGTGAGAGACGTATTGATAAATAAAATATGAGGTATAACACATAGAAACGAAATAGAGATGCATAAAAAAGAAACAAAAAAGGATTATATTAACTTAAATTTCTCCCTTTCATGAGAATTGGTTTGTTCCCATTAAGAACTCTCACTGATTTGATCTATATGGAATCACATTTTTTTTGTGTGATAAAATAAAGAATAACCCCTAATTGTGGAAATTTTTCTATTTAATCAAACAACTAATCATGATGCATTTGATTAAAGTGAGAAAACTTTTTTGATTAGGATATATATATATATATATATATATATATATATATATATATATATATATATATATATATATAATAAATTAAGAGTAAACAAGGAAAATTGAAATTCAATTAGGGGTTTTTGAGTAATAGACTAATTAGCGTTTCTTCAGATTTTTAATTGACATTGTAGGAGTATTCTTTTTCTTTTTGTAGGACCACAAAGTTTTAACGAGCCCCAATCATTTCAATGTAATAGAATAATAAATATTTTTGGCCAAAAAAAAGGAAAATTGAGATCTAATTAGTACATAAACAAAATGCGTTCATATTAACGTGTTTTCGATGGTCGACCAATTTGTTTTTTTAAATTAGCAAAAAAATTAAATTTCCTAAGACTCATCAGCTTGTCAAACGTAAAAGAAATCAGAGTAGAATGATATACGACAACGAAAAAATATCGCTCTTCATCCAATTAATACAAGGAGATCCATGATGCATAAAAAATATTTGTCAACTTAAATTGCCCCAAATTGGTTAAATAGAAGATCAATTACCTAAAAATCAAATCCAGGGAACTAAAACATGTTTTTTTACTTCCGCAAATGAGAGATGTGAAAAATAAGGATAAAAAAGACCAAAAAGAAAAACAATGTATGCATATTGTTAATATAGATTAGGTCTTAAAAACCAAATGTTAGAAAAAATTGAGTGCAGTTTTTACCAGATGTGCGTGCTCTTCTTGTGTATTTATGTTCAATATTTGAGCATCCTCCTTTCTCCATCTTCAATTTTTACTTTTGATTAAAGCCTTTTTTTTTACACTTCTCTCTTTTGTTCAGACGGATGTAACACAATATATTTTATGTCTCTTACTCTTGTGTGTGCAATGAGTAAAATGAACAATTACATTCAATATATAGACAAGTGATATGGGACCTTTGAAATGAGTCAACAATGGTCTTAATAAGGTGGTTAAAGGTAGGGACGAAATTAGCAAAAAATATTAATGGTTGTTCTAAAATGGAAAAGTGACTTATTTTGCTTTCCTTTAACGAGTAAAATATTTTGTGGAATTGCTTGCTTCAAAGAGTAAGTGAATTTTTGAAGAGTACCATAAAATTTACTACCAAATATTATTGAGTTTATTCACATAGGAATATTAGTTTGATATTTATGAATATTATACTTTATTTATATAAATTTATATGAAATAACTACAACAGTATTTCAAAACATTTTCATAGATTTAGTCAAAATCCCATTAATCAAATTTTACATACATATGAGTCAATTCTAACTATTTATTTTACTAATAAAATGGAATTAATCTTAATTTGGATGCTATCATTTACTTTTCGCTTAAATGCTAATATAAGAATTATTCAAAAAATCATTCAAGTCGGGATATACACGACTTAATTACGACAACTATTTAATATGTCTTAAAAGTGAATTGTTGAATTCTAATATTAATAAGATTTTCAAATCTTATAAAGTAACATAATTACATTTATTGGCTTGAAATGTTGAAATAATTAATATTTATATTTCTTGAATTCTAAAAGTAAAAAAAAAATTATATTTATGTAAGATTTTTTATTATGTAGGTCAGACTTTATGTAGGCCAGACTTTATGAGATAGAGTTACTAATTAAAATTGTTGATACAGTCAAATAATTAAAGGTTGATTATTTTGTAATATTAAAAGATATAAAGTTATACCTCTTAGTATTCATCATTTTCCTATGAATACATCATTCTTAGTGTAAATAAATTATCAGCCTCAAACACTAGCCTAAAGTCGGTCTTGTTCAACAAAGAGCCGAACACTAAGTTATTGCAAATGCCCGGGACATGCAGCACATCCACAAGCATAAGCTCTACCTTTCCCAATCCTACAACATTAGAAGTTGCACAATTTCCCATGTGAAGCTCCCTTGCATTGATTGGTATGTAGCTCGAAAACATCACATTCTCGGACCAGGTGTGGCGAGTAGCTCCGGTATCCACCCACTACTCTCTAGGGTTGTCGACCACGTTAGCTTCGAAGATGACAACTTTTAAATCCATGTCATTCTCGTTCTTGTCTTCGATCATGTTAGCTTGGTTCTTCTTTTCTTTCTTGGGTTGGCGACAGTCTCTTGCAAGGTGATTTGGCTTTCCACAGTTGTAGCAACTTCCCTTAAACTTATTTGCCTTGTTTGAATGCGCTGCCGCTTTTCGTTTTTTGCTACTTCATTCGGCCAAGTTTGCATTTCCCTCGATTTTGACCTTCCCCATCTTTGCTTCGGATTTGCGGTTGTCTTCATCAATTCGAGGTCGTACGATAATGTCCTCAAGCTGCTCCCATTTTCTTGTGCTTGTGCTTGAGGTATTTCTTGAATTCATTCCAATGAGGCGGTAACTTCTCGATAATAGCTGCTACTTTGAAAGATTCGCTCAATTCCATCCCTTCGGCGTGTATGTCATGCAATATCAATTGAAGTTGCACGACTTGTTCCACAACCGTTTTGGAGTCCACCATTTTGAACCCTACGAATTGTCCGACTATGAATTTATTTAAGCCGGCATCCTCCATTTTGTACTTCTTTTCGAGAGAGTCCCACAACTCTTTTGTTGTCTTGACGTTGTTGTAGACGTTGTTGTAGACGTTGTACAACGTTTTGTCGAGTCCGTTGAGGATTTAGTTTCAAAAAAGGAAGTCATTGTGGTACCAAGCATCGTAAGCATTCCTTCTTTGAGCGTCGGTGTCATCTTCAGCCACAGTTGGAGTAATTTGCATCAAGAACCCTTAAAGGTTCATGGTTGTCAAGTAGAACGTCATATTTTCTTGCCATCTTTTGAATTTTATACCGGTGAATTTTTTCAACCTCTCTCCATGAGCAGGGGCAGAAGTGTTGTTCAAAAGAGCCATCGCAATTTTCAGCACAAAAGCCAACATGAAGCGCAACATGTGCAGCAGCGGCGGCATCAACGACTTCAACATTTTCGTTTTCCATTTCAAAAGATACAACATATTGTCTCACGATTGTTATTTGTGATGTATATTTCGAAATCAAATTTATAACAGATTTTAGTACGAAGAAAAGAAGTCGAGGCAAGAATTAGAATCTTTCTCCGTAAGACAATATTGGCCCGTATTAGTGCTAACGGTTCCAGCCAACTGTCCCCAAGATACAATGACCTGCAGGTATTCGAGTTTGCAGCACAACAAGGTTCGAAGTACAGGCGAAAAATACGAGAGCCTTGGACTTTCTAGACATGAAAGGAATATATGAATAATATGCTGGTGAATGTAGTGAATTCGAGTGAGTGTTGCATTATGAAGGGGCTCTATTTATGTTCAAAAGACATAACTTCAGGAAAAAGAAATGGTTGAAAAGATGTGGCATATTTTCACATGGCCACAAAAATCTTAATTAGTTTTGATGCACACGGATCTCCTTGAAGAAGGAAGTCTAAGACTCCAAACCAAACAATGGCCGACGAGTCGTGTGCTCGGACACACACAGCCCGCAATGACTTTTAAGTTAAACTCACATTTGCTTATTAATTATTCTATTAGATAATCACCTTGCACTATTTAAAGTGTTCTCATTAAAAATTTTTTCCAATGTGGGATGATACTTTTCATCTTCTCATTCCCATAAATGATTTTATTTAAGTGTCCATTTAAATACATTAACTTTTCATTCATCAAAAGTCGATTTTGAGAAATCAACAGCATTACATTTCTTTACCCGAAACATAGATCGTGAATATAAATTCTATTTCTATTTTCGATAAACGAAACCCACTTAAATATTTTACTGAAGTTTGGTGTAGACCCAATTTTTTCGACGGTCGTTGCCAAAGTATTTTTTTCTTTTCTTTTTTTCTTTTTTTCTTTTTTTCTTTTTTTATTTTTTTTTTATTATATTGTAGTGTTGTGTTAGTATTGTCTCATTTAAACATTGTGTTCTATATTCGATCGAAAATGAGTGACGTGTGACACTGTGTGTCAAGTTATAAGATTCACAAGTTAGAATTACAGGCAAATTATTTTTACAACATATATTGTCCGTTTCTTTACTTTGTTTATGTCTATTTAGTATTTATTAGCAACGCACTTAATTTTTTTCTCGCCCGGCAGCATATAGGGAATAAAAAATATATTAAATTTAAAAAAAAAAAAAAAAAAACTTTGTGTTTATATTTTCATTGTAATTTTACTTTGTGGCGTTGATTTTTGAACTAGGTATGTAAACAAATTGTGAAAATCAAACATAATGATGTATGGTACTGAATATGTGTGGCTGATTTTGAGTTTTTCGCAATTGCCTTTGTTTTTAGTGTATTTTGTCTTCAAAGTGAGATGACACTTTGAATGATTTTCATTTTTTGAGCTCATTGGAGTTTAATTTTCGACGAACTATTAAAAATAGTATAAAATATATATATATATATCTATATAATAAAAATACAATAAATATGTAAAATTTAATGTTTTTAAGTGAAACCACTCATTCAAAATAGATCTAAATTCATGTTACAATATTAAATTACTAAATAGCCAATATGACAAATGTTATTGTCCATTTTATTATCTTTTGGGCACTATTTATGAAGTGGAACAAAATTATGTGCATCATTAGGATTGCTTATTGTACAATGGATGATCCTTTTCTTTTGTGGTTCTGTTTTTGTTGTCAAATTTCATGAGGCATTTTGGGATCAAATCCGATTGGTTTTACTGTGTTAGTAATCTCCTGCCAATCTCTTGCCGAGCTTTTTTTTTTTTCCTGAAAATTAATCTCCATCCAACTTTGTTACAATGAAAAGATATTAAATCAATTAATTTTTATCTCATTCGGTCTGATTTATTTGTTACAAGAATCTTAACTATTTTTAAAAAATATATTCCCCTAAAAAGAAATATTCTTAATACTTTGAAGCCAGTATATGGAAAGAGTAAATAAAAATAATATTTAGTAAAGTGATAAACTACTATTTGAAAATAAAAATAATATTTAGTAAAGTGATAAACTACTATTTGAGCAACGGACCCAACCGTTGTGCGAGTGGAACTATCATCACAGCCTATGCACAAGCGGGGAATCGAACCGGGTATGTACCATGGCAGGGTACTATTCTATCACTAGACCACTGGTGCTTGTTACCGCTATTAACAATTACGTTATATATTATGA